CACGCGTTCCAGACGAACGCATGCTGTAGCAGCAAGTGAACAGGCAGGTTTATGGACTCACTGATCAAGCCTTTGTTGGAACTCGGACTTTTTCTTACATTTCATCTTGTGTTGCGGAGGAGTGGAACGGTGAATAGGGGCCCAGATATCTATTAAGCCACTTATCGCGTTGTGAGTCAAATCAACAGCAGCCTCGGGAGCAAAATAAATACGGCAACAACAGTAAATAATCACAAAAGTCAAACTGTGGCAGTGTACAATGAGGCATAACTAGGCTGAAACCTATGAATAATTAACCAAATATACGTGCATTTTCTCAAATATGCCCGAAATTTCGAATGTTAAAATGCAAACACACAAACTTTTAGCCACCATGTTGTAAATCGACTAAACGAAGTTTGGCATATTGTGTGTCATTGTAGTGGTTCTTCGCCACTTCCTAGTTTGCTTTTTTGCCGACTTTCGATATTTCGTGGGGTCAAGAGGACGTTTAGTTTCATTTTTAAAATGACGTATGTCGAACGTGCTTGCATAAAATGCCGTAATGTAATTTCCATTAACTAGAAACAAAAAAAAAACAAGCAAACAATTAAGCCACGTAGCAAAACTGATTACTTCAACGAACCAACGGCCCAGCTGTTCTGCCCTTCTAACTGGCAAGTTGACCATTGCACGATCGTACCTGGCACGCTATTGGCTGTTTGTGTGTGCGCGCTACTTCGCGCAAATTAGGCTTTCGCTGTGGGCTGCGTTCTGAGACCCCGTGTCAGTTGAGGGCTCACTGTAGTGAGTTTCGTGATGTGTTACTGTTTTGCGTCAAGTGAATGCGCGTGGAATCTTCAAAATTTGCTTCTAGTAGTCAGTAAAATCGATTTCATTCAATAACCTGCCACTGCATTCTTCGAGTTGATGACACGATAGCCTCGTAGGTGTTTAATTACTCTGGCAGGTAGAAATGCCTTTTTTTACAGTGTGTTTTCTTATCTTAACTGTTGTAAACTTCGATTTGCTTGGTCTTTTTCTTTGTCGCGCATGTCATTTCTGCCGACTTGATTCTGTTTGGAGTGGCATTTTGACAAATTTGCTGAAGTGTAGCTGCCTACAAGTTTTGTTGCTTTCGTGTCCCGTTCTCTAAATTTGCTACATTTTCGTTTTATGCATTTCTCACAATTGGATCTTCAGAACCACCAAAATATATCCTAATCGTCTTTTTTGCGCATTACTCGACTCTCGTAACGCTATCGCAACAGCTGAGTGGGCTCATGGTATTCCGTGGGTTTCGAAGAATGGTCGTTCCAATCGTGGCCGTCGTTTGTGTACGCGAAAATTCACCGATTGAACTGGCAAATATGGTTGGTTAGGTATAATTTACGCATCATCACTGTTGATAAAGCACAAAGCTAACGCCGAAATGACACCCAGTCATATCCAATCTACTGATAATTCGCATTTTCGATTAATCAATAAAATTCGCACCTTTCTGCTTATTGTTGTCTTTGGTCGTTAATTTTGTCCCCAGCTACACTAACTCTTCTTTTTTGCTTCCAGTCGACCTCATCCACTCGGCAAGAAAATGACGAGGAGAGGACGGGTGATCGTGTTTTGCGAAGCAATGTCGGCGCGTCTATTCGTCGTTCGGCCCGCCAACGTCGCCGCCGCGAACGCCAAAATCAACTTTCCTTTGTCACCCAAATCGAAGCGATGCGCACATTGCGACGAGCGCGCCGCTCTGAGCGTCTGCGTCGGTTTCTACGGCAACAGGGCCAAGGCGAGGAGCCCTCGACCCCAACAACGACAGGGCCTGAGGAGTCGAACAACGCAGACGATGATTTGGAAACTCGTTTATCGATTATCGAGGAGGCTGGGGTCCCTTCGACTCCACCTCCTTCAAATACTCGGGAGCAAATCAAACAGCAGTTGATTTGTAGCATTGACTACGTTGCTTCTGTAAGTCGTCTATTCACCACAACTAATCATTATCCACTTAATTCCAGTGTGCGTCTAAAGTCATCACGATGACCTACAGAGCATCACCTCTTCCTCAGAATCGGTATTGTTTGGAAGTTGACTTTTTTGTCTCATAACAGCACATTACCACATTACATAAGTTTAGACCTACCCATTTTGCTAGCCTTAGTTAACGGCCAGTGACACTACAAATTATCTAATGTCTGCTCACATTGGTATTGATAGTATACTTTCTCACCTAATTTTGTTACCTCAACGTTAACAGTGGTTAAAGTGGGCTTAATGATAGTTGATACCACTTTTGTTGCATCAATCAATCAGTAATACCTTGTTGTGACTCGTGTTTAGTCAACCCCATAATCCGGTCCCTCCACCTCCTACACAGGGTTCCCCTTGTCGCAGCAGATCGCCAGCCGCGCGAATCCTCGACTCCCCCCTCATTCGCACGAATATTTATCTTGGAGTATCCCCACAGATAGGTCTCGATGTCAACGCATGTATGACTCACACATCCGAGGTATAAATACACACGTGCTGACCCCACACACGACACAACGACACCAACGTGCTTGAGCTCTGAAGTAAAGGGTCGTGTCCACGTCCCCTCCGGTCTATTTCTTCATCGCGGGTACCAGTGAAGCTTTATCGGGCCAGGGTTAATTCCGTGGCCCCGGCGTGGTTCAAGACCGCATGCTGGGGCCCACAACCACCTGTCTAAGCACTGCATATTTGTGTGCTTCGTATGTTCATGATTTCTGCGCTCCACCTAGCTAGTGTTTTTGGGGGCTGGGGCCAACTTTAAATAACACGAAGCTACTGAATAGCACGACTCATCCAAAATGGACTTACCTTACTTGTGCGATTTACGTGGTTTCCTCTAAATTCGGTGGTTTAAAAGAAATACCATGAAAGATCTCAATTATTTATTGCTAATCGATTACAAGTAACGGAAGCATCCCGTTGAGCATTTCGACTTTCAGTTGCGGCCCCTGCAATTCGAAAACAACTTTCCTTTGTACCTTTAGCTGGTGTTATCCCTCCGTTTTGCCTCAGTTAGTCACAGTAACACTAAATTATTTACGTCATGCCTCGTGGGCACATGTTTTCGGCTTTGGCTCTTTGCCTGGAGTTGGTGTGCTTATAAATTCAAAGAAATCGATGTAGCTAATTTCGATCTGAGACGCGCTGTGGTTGGGGGTAGCAGTCACCTCTTCACTAGAGTGCGCCTTTCAATTGGTGTTTAGCACCGAGTCACGCTGCCTCTCCTCCATCCACCCCCCAACGGCTTCCACGGGACGTCCGGACAAACGGAAGCCTCCAACGTATCGACCGGTCCGGAGGTACTGCCTTGGTCGGGTCCTTACATCGACTGGTTGTCGATAACGCAGCCTCGTGCCTCACCGTATGTGCCTCAACTCGGCGACCGGTTGGTCTACATAGCGCGTGGACACAAGGAGTATTTGAGCCGCGCCTGGCAAGACGGCTCCGTCCCCGATATCGACGAAGTAAACGCTGAAGGTGGTCAACTCAGTTCTAGGCGTCTCCCGTTGCCCTGGGAGGTGAATCCTGGCTTGCCGGTAAGTGACCTTTAATGTCTTTCTGGACGGTGTACTTGTAAACGGGACGTATTCGCCACTGATTTACTGTGTCGACACGTCCGACATGGATGATTCGGCTTTTGCGCAACCCTACAATCGGTGACTCGTCACACTTTATGGCCACACAAATCTCCAAGTCTTACGGTGCTTACACTTGTGTGCGCATCAACTTACAGCGGGAATGAGACAATCTGCGAAATGCCCAGCAAATTTTGATTCCGAAGTTTTGCTTTCGTGCTAAGTCAGGCCTTTTGATGGCCAACACTTTCCTAAATCCGAGGTCCATCATGCGTTCTCCGGTGAGTGGCCCAGCAAACTGAAGCAAACCTTCACGGTTGACCGTGCCAATCTACTTCACATCGTTCACTGGATGATGATGATGTTGCTAGTCGCACAGGGGACGATATTCCAGGTTATTAAATACAAGCGTCCCACTTTTTCACACCAAATTGTACCAGCGCTGTGTTGCTATTCGATGCGATGTCGCATGGATTGCGAATGTGGACGATACCCTCGGTAAAGCCGATTGTGCGCGATAACGCGGTGGGCATTTAAGCGCAGCCACTTCAGTTTTCATTGTGCCATGGTTTATCGTAATTTCTAATTATGCACCATCTCAGTACCCTATTTACCTTAATGAATAAAATTCGCACGATTTACTTCTAGATTTTTTTTGACTTGCTTTATTAATTTCACTTGGCAAAACTGGGTGCTTCATCCAAGTAAATCATTGCTAGCTCAAAATCGGTAAAAATTCCATTTCAAGGAATTTGGCTTTGACGTCGTAGGTTTCTTTGCCACTTCACTTAACCTTTTTCCCAAAAATTGACCTCTTACTTCCTGTCCCCTTGGTCTTTTTTTACTCATAAACGTCTTTTTTGCGTTAAATCTAGTACATCCAGAGTGCATTACTCATTTTGAATCGCCGAAGTGAACTAGTCAGTCTGTTGCCGTCGAGACAAAATCCTTGTTTCATCACTCCTACTTAACAGCCATGTTCCCTTTAGGGCTATTTGTGTTGTCGTGTGTCCGAAATGGCTGTGCATTTCATGCGAATCACCAACGAATCGAGCAGTCGTCGAGTTCACACTGGGGCGTCGTCGTCGTCAACGCGACGACACCGTCAGGCGCCCGCCACGGTGACCGGGCGTCTCAGGCGGTCCCCGATTCGGGCGCCGCCACTCCAAACCGAGGACTCCGGCGACACGACTGCCGACAGCTTTGTCCGCTTGGTCTCTCTGCGTCTGGCGGTGGACGACGACCAGCCATACACTTCGCTAGGTGGCGTTGGCAGTCAGGAGTCCTCGACTCCACGTGAAGTGTTTGTGCGCTACCATGACGTCGATGGTGTCCTAGATTTTCTCATCCTGCGCAGCGTCTTTGACGAGGCCATTACCCGCAACTGGATTGCTGGTTTGTTCTCACACCCTTGGCATTGTCTTATCTGAGACTAGTTTTAATTGTTTCCATTTTAAATTGCCCTTTAGCATACTAAATGCACTTTTGTGTTAAGGGTTGTTGTTCTCCTGTAATCTCTCTTGACAAATATTCAGCAACAGAAAGTAGTTGTTCATAAGAGGGTCGATTACCCTTAGCTAAGTCTTGTTTTCTCGCGTTTGTGCCATATTTATGTGTCACCAAACTGGCCATGTATCATTCCCGACATTGACCAAGTATCTCTCATTGGCGTTTAGGTGATGTCTTCATTTGCCCCGTGGACGATATCTGGTGGCGTGGACGTGTCCTTCAGGACTCATCTTCCTTGTCTGACTCCACTTCATCTGCCTTTGACCCGTGGCTTTCGGTTCGGGTTCGATGGTTGGAGAATTGGGAGACCGGAAGCACCGATGAACCTCTCCTGCCCTCTTCGTTTTCTGGTGACCTTGTTGAAACTGTCGAGGAGTGGGATCGTGCGAGGACCGATGCCAACGTAGTCACCTACTCAGATCGCCTCAGCCCCTGGGACATGCACCCCTGGGACGCCAGACTACCTATCTCCGGTAAGTCCCTAACAACTGACGGTAAAGTCTCACAAATGGGTCCCAAGATCGCATCAAACATGACTGCAACTGCCGTGACACCTGTTAAGTAAAACGTCTGTTCAAATTGGACTAGACTTCCTTCTGACAATCTAGTCGTGTTGTCAATGTTAGAGCTACCACTTTGCTTAATTTTCCTTTCAAGTAGTTGGCCCACCCGATGTTATTTTTAAGCGAAACTGTGTCAGTAGCATGTTATTTTTCCCCCAAATTAACTCCTTCTACCTTCTTTCCATTCTGTCACTTTTTTACAGACGAGTTCAAACATTTTATTTCCAAACACGAATTGTAAATTTAACTTGTGTTCTTGCAGACGGCCCAACTTCGACACTTTCTGCCTCGTATATGCACAGCGCGGAGGTCCGCATCCCTGTGCACCGTTTGACCCGCCTCTTTGGGTCTCGGGGAGCGCAGTCGCTGGTGGCGTCGAATCCTGGGCCCTCAACATCGACCGCCCAACCTCCCACCTTCGGCGACGTGATTGAGCAAATGAAAGTGGTCCTAGACAAGGTAGTCTCCGGCCCTTTGTCACTTTCAAGCCCTCCTTGAATGAATCACTTTCGTCTTTGCTGTGTTTCCTTGCAACCGCAGAATAGCTTTTTTGCTCATTCGGGAAGTCGTGTCACCCTTGATTGAGTCACGGAGTTTACTTGATTCTTCTGGCGCCATGCACTTTTTATATATCACTTAAACACACACTACATCGTAGCCTGTGGTTTTTACGCTGTCGGATAGGATATCGGTGAGGCTCTACATGTTTAACTGCAAAGTTGCATCACTTTGAGTCTTGTAACCACGGGTCTTCCCATATGTCTTAATCTCTTAGGGCTAAGAAATTGTTACGCTTTCCTCAAAACATGTCGAACAGTCTCGTTCTGTTGTGTTTTACCCGTAAACGAGACTGCACACCCAGATAACCTGTACCCCAGATCCCTTGTCACACGCTAACCCCCACCTTCCCACGTTGACGTAAGACCTCGTGCAGAGAGCTTCTAATGTCCCAGCCAAAGGCCGAGTGATCTGTCTCAATGTGCCCACTTTTATAAGTCAAGGATGACCTTGACCTGATGGATCTAGGTGGATTAACACAGGTGGAACTGTCAGTAGGTAGCCGTGGGTGACTCACCCACTGAAGTGGCGTGGTCAGGGGAAATGTCTAACAATGGCAAATTCCTAACCCGCGGTGAGGTGTTTTGGGGAGTACTGGATCCCTAACACGTTCCATTATTGACTTCCAGTGGTTGTCGTGGAAATTTTGTGCCATTACAGTTTAATGCCGAGATCAGGTAATCACCACCACGGGACTGCCATTGATCCTGTGCCACTTACAATCTCATTCCTTCGTGAAGTGCTTGTTCACCTTCGTTGTCCTCTTTGCAGCTCATGTCCCTGAACGCTGCTTCTGCCTTCAATTGGCCCGTCGACTTGGCGGCGTTCCCCAACTACATCGTCGTTAATCCTCACCTCGTTGACCTTCTCTTTATCCGTCATCGTCTTGAAAATCTCTTCTACAGGTAGGCGCTCGTAAAACTGGGCACCTGGTCAAACTCTTGAACACGGCTTAATCCCGCTGTTAGGCCTCGTTTGAATTCCCTTTCCACAAATTTGGCTATTTTTTCTCTTTTCTGCGTTTCATTCACCTGAACTTACAAAGACCTTTGCTTTTCGTGTCTCTGCTTATGCTTCCGGTTACAAATTTGTTGGTTTGGCGGCGTTCCGCCTTAAATAGCCTCTGTTTTTTATGTAAATCGTTGCATTTGCTGGAATACTTTGCGATATTTAACACTCAGAAATACACGTTGCTTTTGATTCAATAAACCTGAGTAACTTGTACTGAATAAATTTCCTTGAGAACGCGATAACTTGAGTACCACCTGTAGACGCTGAGGAAGTGTTGACTTAGAAATCAGCCGATTTAGAAGTTTCGCCGTCACCGCTGTGCCCTTGCCCCGCTTTCCTTGTAGACAATCAGATGCAATTCTCTTCGACATCGAGCAGATCTACGCGAACGCGGTGCGCTACAACGAGCCCCAAAGCCTCATAGTCCACCAGGCCCAGCTGATCACGTCGCTGGCCCTCCAAGCCATGAGCTCCCCAAGCTTAACGTGGGTGCGTCTCCTCCCTCTCTCCCCTCCTCTGTCGTGCTAATATCTGCCTTCTCATGCAATTTTTATTGACGTCTTAAATGGTGTTTCTGGTGTCACACGCACTAACCATCTCTCCAATTTTAACCAAAGCTATGTTCACGATTAAGCACTTTCTTAATCACGGCTTCCTTTGTTTGGAATAAAAGCCTTGTAGTGGGACATTACGGTGTGACACCAAGACCATTTTGCTCTTATTAAAAAGAACTACCACCCTTTCTGGTTTTTTTTGTTGAAACAAAGCACTTTCAATTTCTCTCTTCGCGATCACGTGTTTTGCTGTCCGTGATCTAGTAGTGGTTTTTAAATTTTTGCTGCTTCAAGGTATTCCACGGTGATCTTTTAAATTTACTTAATCGTCTAGATTTACTAATGTGTTTTTAATGCGCCACATGCAAGGTTAATGCAATCTTCCATCATCGAGTCCTCACCTGTTTGGCTCACTTTACAAACCTACAGACTAGTAAAAATTTCATGTTAGCTTGTATCGCTTGTCTCTGAAAATTTGCGACTTCAAAATACTAGGTGTGTGTGTGTGTGTGTGTCGGATACCTGTATTGCCATAGCAACAGTAGAGGGCCCGCCATCGCGCGTCGATATCCACTTTTTGCTCAACATCTGACATTCGGAGCGCTGACCCATTCTTCAAGTTAATTAAACAAACCCGAGTTAACAAATTAACGCACCACGAGCAAAGCCGTGTTATTTCCGTCATTGAACTTTGTCGCTACTGGTGAATATTTCATTTTCTTGTTGTGGCTGCGTTTTCAAGGTTTCCGGTTGTACTCGAGTTTTCGTTGGTCCCGTTTTATAAAAATTTCTGATTTCCTGTTGTTTTTGGATGTGGGCAGTCGAATTCAATTCGCCTCTTTAATCAACTACTAAGCCTTTTGCGTTGCGGTTTATTCGTACCTTTGAACGAGGGAGTAAGCTAAAACTCAGCTTCGATGGGTTATGTGCTTTTCAGGAAAAGTTACTCGAGTACTACATTGCGGCAGTGCGCTTGAACCCGCAGCTGGATCCCACCATTGACGTCTCTCAGAATTCTTCCTCCTCAACCGTTCCCGCAATGGAGGATTTGGAGGTTGGCCTAGGCAGTGACAGCCCTAGGTCTCCCACGTTGAAACGTCTGCGACCCCTCGACCTCCCCATCTCGGTTTCCTCGCCGAAGCGCGATTCCCTCGTCGACGTGGAGCCCCGGCGCAGTGGCGAGTCGTACTGCCTTCGGTCGCTTGCACTGCCTCCGCCACTGCAGCCCCCAGTCTCGGACGACGACGACAACGACAACGCCGATGACTCCCTGAACTGGCGAAAAGTCTGCGAAAAACTCCTCGACGAGCTGTTAAGGCACCGTCGCAGTTTATTCTTCCGTGAACCCGTTAACGTCGACCAATATACCGTAAGTTAGTTAACGAAAAGTGGTCCAAATTCATTGTGTTTGCTAGAATGTCCTCCACTTTTTTGTCATGTCGAAGGAGCTCGATCAAGGCTCACTGGAAACCAGACCCTGGTTGATGTAAATCGCTTCTATTGAGCAGGATTCACTACAACTGTAGTCAATTTGTGATCACTTGAAAAGTTATCATCGCTGAATATGCTTGAAATGTAGACATTTTTGCAAATTCTGACGCAATTTGGCTTAACCACTTTCAATTAAACTTACCACTAATGACGAAAATTATTCTGACTTAGGAAAACACCCTATCTTTCACATCATGAGACGCAACATAGTGTTTCTTTTGATGTTGTCAGTTTAATTTCCTGTCTTGTTATGAGCGGGCATAGATTCACTTAAATTAATGGAGTGCATTAGTCGACTTAAGATTTTTTTAAAAATGACATTGCTGATGTGAAGGTAGGTAACCATTGACAATCGTCCGTTTGGGCTTTCTTGCTTTGACAACCAGCTGACCTCCAACTTGTATGTTACTTTCTCTAAAGTGCTTCGAACGAAAGCTATGATTGTCTGTTGTGTTTTTCACTTAACGTCAACTCCATTTGGAAGATATTGTTTCTCTTCGATTATATTTCTTACTTGATGCCACCTTCGCAAGCCGATTCGTGTCCTCGTCCAGCAAACTGGTTCGCTTTTTTTTGTCAGAACTATGCAGAAATTATTGAAAACCCCATGGACTTGGCCTCCGTCCAAAGTCGCCTCAGACCGCATCCCAGGCAGGCCAACGCCAATTTGTACACAAGTCCTCGTCAGTTTCTTCAGGACCTTGAGTTGATCGTTAGCAACTCTCTCCTTTTCAATAGCAATGTCGACGCTCAGGTAAAATTGCCACCACCTAGTTCAACTTACCCCTCTCCCGTAACATTAATGAGATATTACCGAGGTAATCTTTTTAATGTTTGCTTTCTGCAAATCTTCAGTCACCTTTATCTGAACCTTGCTTTCTAAGGTTTACTCTGACACACGGTGGCTGTCAAGATGGATAACTAAAGTGGCTACCAGGCGTCTTGCTCTGTTTCTTGGCAACGAATCTCCTCCGGCCGGTCCCTCCACTCAGCCTTCGGTTGGGGCAGATGTAAGACGACGAAGAATGCGGCGATTACGGCACCCTTCTCGTGCTCCGTCGAGTTACGTGCCTCGTTTCAGCCGATCTCTACGGTAAGCGCTTGGTGATTTCAGCCACTTTGTAATCACATTGCTACTTGGCATTCATGAATTGCAACTGTAAGCCAGAACATACGGCTTTTTACCCATTTGTCCCAACGTTAGTAGGCCAGAGTGAATGGACGGCTTCGATCATCAACTTGTTGAATGTGGTACATAATAAACACCCGGAAATCGTCAAGACAAATTATCAAACGGCCAGGAGTGTAGTGCGTTATGCTGAGTGTGGAAAAGCAACTTCAGCCTAGGTTTAATTTCAAAGAGGGAAGTTCGTCGTGGTCAAAACCAAATTCGTCCGTAGATAGGCTCTGCTGAGCTTGGTTAATGTCGCCGAGGCGCACCAAATCCCATGTGTCTCGGATCTGTCGGGGATGGCGGTCGATCGGATCACGTCGGATGCTGGGTGCTATAGTTGCCTTGCAGTCCCATTGTTTGTTGAATCACGTGGAACCTACTCGTAGAGTGTATCTTAGAAAGGTCTCACGACTTGACAGACTCGCCTCTCTAGTCGTCTGCTGGGCTTGGAATTGACTAAATGTACACCAAACTCAGCCAATGTGTATAATGTCCGTGAGGCAAAGTGAAGACTCATCCTCGAATTCTCCGCTTGCGAATCGATCGCTTACATTGTGATGCGGTAATCATCTTCACGATAAACACTCCTAGTTTGTAGTGATTGCAATTTCTGAAAAATTGCCGATATATTGCGAAATGAAGGGTAGCGCTCACAAGACTTCGTAGTTGCTCAACCAGTCTACATTTTCTCACTGAACATCAGACAGAATTTAGGCGACATAAACATTTTTACTGTTGCACAGTTAGCTGCGGACATTAATCAAATGGCCACATAATGCGCTGTACCTAGTTCTATAGCACTATTATTTTCAGACAGTTAACGGGATAATTCACTTAAGATATCCATGACAACGATAATCAGACTAGAGGTCTAAGTAGCCCTTAATTTTGGCAAATGAGTTCGTTGTTTGGAGTCTATGCTCGGCATTTTTTCCACGTGATTTACTGTGACGTAGTTGTATTTACGCTTAAAATTTCCCTCCCATTAACTAACTAATTAACTAATCTTGTCTTTTTTCTCTTTTTCGGGAACTGTAGGAGCAGCAGCGAAGGTTAGTTCATTGCAAATTTTATGCACACAATGTTCTTTACGTTGAATTAAAGCGCTCGATTTCGTTTTGATGTTGATGTTTACTTTTGAGTAATATGAAGCATGGTAACATAATGGGTTCTGTAGCCTCATCAGGGACTTGTAACTCTGAACGAGTGTTGAGGTCTAAAGGAGTCTGTGGTGTTACTGCGCAGGTTTGGTTTTGCCTAAAGTAGATTTCCACCCTGGCCGTTAGAGGTTTATTGTAATTCCATTCCAGCTGTTCGGTCACGTCCTGCTGAACCACATGGTTGGGAGCACGGCGCAAGGCGCACCAGCGGTGGTGAAGCCCCTCAGCCAGGCCGTCGGACTTTAAGGGCTCAAGCCTCGGGGCTCGTGGTCAGCTCTGGTGACAGTGCTGCCACTCTGCCCAACTATGCAACTTCTGCTTTACCAACCAGGACTAGTTCGCTGGCCTCTCGTCGACCACGCCGTAAACGAATTTTACGGCTTTCGGCTCGAGAGGGACAGAGAAATGCAGGTGCTGTAGGGGGGCCGAGGAGGAGCACCAGAAGACGCTCACATCACCAGCAAACTACTTCACGACCTCGGCGCTCTGCTGCTTCTGCTGTTCGACATTACTTTGAGAATGAGATGGTTAATGAATCTGATCAAGATGAAGAAAATGAGGAGCAATATTCCAGCTAGTTTTGGCGCTCTTGTGTGTGTGTATTTTTGTATATAAAAAATGCTTAATATTTTTAGCACAGTACACTTTTGAGGTATTGGTGGATGTTAACTGGGGGCTTTTCGTCAGAAATACCGGACAAACATGAGTGGAACATGTTCACGCGTTGGTCTGATGTCAATGGCTATTGACTGCAGTTGACGCCCGGTAATCACTCACGCACACTTAGAAAAGACAGTTGGCTGGTCTGACGCCAATAAACAGGCCTATACACCGTCATCTTTTTGAAGACTCATAACCGCCGCTTTTGGACAAAATTTGAATAAGTGATTAATTTTAAGGCATGTATTTCGCTAAAGGTCGTTTCTGCAGATGCGACTGCAAGAGCATTGTGGGTGTTGCGTTCGTATTCAGAGCGTGTACTTGTTCTTAGACGTCATCAGCAACGGGCAGGCCACCAGATGTCATCGATTCGATGACTCAACAAACAGATTTTTGAAGACGAGTTATTGTGATGTTTTGGTTTTACACCTTTCGGGAATGGGTGCTTTCAAGAAGTAACAGTGAGATTTTTAGCTCAACCTCATTTAAGTAGATAATTGTTAGTGATTTGAAATTGTGATTCGCGGGGAAGAGGGGCTGCTCCCTGTTTTGGGGTGCTATCGATGTGTAAAGATTTTGGGAAAATTGATATACTTTTACAATACTTAATTCTGTAGCTTGCAAAAGATACTGCTTTCAATCAATAACAATTGTCCAGTCCAATGTAAGTGTATTATGTACAATATTGATATGTCTTGATAGGCATATTCTCGGACACTGTTGATCCCGGTTTTAATCTTGTTTATTACCTTGGCAAACTACAATTTTGTCATATCTAAAAGTTCTGCCTTAAATAAAATTTTACAGAAGCCAAAGGGCTGTTATCTGATGCTCAAACGTACCGTCGGAAATAGTGATCTTGACAAATGCTTAAGCGATTATAATCGAGCGATATTGATAATTGTAGTTATTAATCTAGAAGACTTTCAAACGCATATTTAATTAGTCAAAGTCCTTTCATGTATCAACGCTCCAGTTATTGGAGGCCTAATTCGAAATTTGTATAGTTTTGGTACTAACTGGTGAGAATTCTACCATTTAAATAGTCGTAATTATTTGACTTGTGCGTCGTAAGTATTAATAAAATTGTGGCAAAGTAAACAATCCATTCATTACGCATATGTATGAACAATTTTGCATGCTCCAGAGATACAAGCTAATGAAGTATTTTGGATGTTATTATTGTTCACAAATTAACCAACTGCCAAAGTGAACGAAATTTTTATTCTGACCAAGCATTTGTTTTCCTGAATAATGAAAGTGTCATATTTGACTAAGTTCTCTGATATTTTATTCACTGATTGTCATAAATGTTGCAGCTTCCAAACGATTATTTATCACAGAAATTTACCGATTAAAATTGTTTGGTACTCACAGGGTAGAAGTAATAAGCCTTTTTCGGAAAGTTATAATTCATTGTACCACATCACTTTTTGACCAACAATCAATTTGAGATAATCTACGTATAATAAGCCAATAAATTTAAATTTCGATGCAACTGTTAAGAATCGCCAAAATAATTAAGGTTTTAGACTCTTTGAGAACAGTAAAAATCCCAGATTACAAGGGTAAAAAGCGGAAGCTTTATTATTTTTTCTCACATAGTTGGTGACACCTCTTCATCAGGAACCTCACTTTATTCAGCGCCTTATTTTTGGTTTCTGGCACTAATTTGAATGGTCCAATCACGTATCAAGTTATTTGCCAACCTCGTTCACTTTTTTGTCACCACTCTGGATGTCGTTTTAATCGCTGTATGTTTAGTCCAAAATTCTTCATATTTCAACATTCATATTTTTTCTCCTATGCTTTTGTTGTTCTGTAGTTGGTTGCCGCATTTTATTCAAACACTGATCTTAATTTTGTGTCTTAAACACAATCCGTGAATTTTATCGACAGTTTATTTAATCGGGCTGGCTTTTAAATGCCAGAATTTATCATTTTTTGCATATTTGACACTGTAGATATTTAACTTGCACTCTTCTGCCTCATTTTTTACTCTCGTGCGACGTCGTTCCATGGCGGCTTGTTCATTATTCATTTCACTTTGTAAGCTGTTTGCCTATGCACGTAAAAGTCATGGTTTCTCATTTATATCCTTGTGTGTTTTTCTTTTTAATTTTTAACGTCGAACTTTTACCTTGCTATAATAAAACGCCTAGAATTTCGTTTCTATTATCCTTCGTTCACTCCCAGTTTGCAGTCGATTCAACCATTGGGAACCTGTTTTTTATCGTCTTTTAGAATGCTGCTCCCAACACTTCGTCGACGTTTTATTAGTGTGTTACGTTTTCCCAGATTGCTTTATAACTTCCACACTATTTCTGCGAGAAGGAACCTTGTATGCCCCCAAGCAATTTTCTGTCGACTTGCTTCTTCGGGATCGCATGGTCAGGAGTCCCGTAGAATACCGCCGCCAGGTGGGGGTGACGATATGGGTCGTCGTCCGGACCCTAGGCGTCTGCGCATACCTGCAGTCATAGTATTTTCTATGGGTCTGTCCATGGCACTTATTTTTTACACCTACTGGTTTGGCAAACCCACTGAAGTATCCTGGCGTGTCCTTGAGGAACTACTCTCCCGTGGCGAAGTACGCAACATTCAGGTGTCACAGGGTCGCAATGCAGCTTTTGTTCTTCTTCACTCCGCCCAACACGTCGATGGGAAGGCCGTCTTTGTAAGCTGTTCTCTTAGTCCAGATCTCAGTGACATCTGAGTTGCTTTCCCAGTCTCGCGGTTTCAATATCTCACCTCTTGCATAATGTGCTCTTCATGTAATTTTTAATGTGTGTGCTCGGGACTTGTTTGGTTTCATTATTCTACTCTCCATTTATCATCCGCTTTATTGATAAGTCCATCGCTAATATATCAATGGTGTTTTCCTCATTGCTGTCAGTACACCGATAATTTTGAAGGGCGTTCCATCATTTTGACCATCAAGCCATGATCGCTGTTTCGTAGACTCAAACTTTAATTTTTATCTATTAATAAATGGCTCTAGGTTCGTGATTTGCGTTTCTTAGTAGGTGGTATGGGTATTCGCGTGGTGGGTAGTCGGCATCAAATTGGTGGCTCCGGGGTTTTATAAATTTATTTCTTTCAGTATCGTATATTGCTCTTGCTGCGCGTGTTCTGGTATCAGTATATCAAGCATCACCTTCATTTGGCTTAGATAAGCCTAATGACTACGCTTGTTCCGTTTAGTTGACCGATGGCCGGCGATGTTTTTAACTTCGATCCTGCTAATATTAGAAGTTCCTTTGATATATGCGTCATTGAATTGATTCGGCCAAAAATCGCTCTTTCCTTGGTCGCATGTAGCTGATGTCTTATAGCTGTTTAACAAGTTGGCAATCACCCCTCATATCCCTGAAGTTTAACGGAGTGCCACAAAATATAACCGCTTTGACTTGATGATCTTCCTTTTTAGATTGTAAGCGTCCCTCTTCAAAATGAGACTGCTCTTGATTTTGAGCGACGTCTGCGCTCGTTTGAGTCCAGAATCGGTATACCGCAATCTGACCAAATACCAGTTACTGTTGTGTAAGTTGTTGACAGCCTTCTAGCCACCCTTGTGCATCTCCCTAAACTTGTTTTTTTTTACCCATTCATCTATCATTGCCTAAAATTTATTCTTTTTTGCACTAGATTCGATATTTTTTATAGTTCCAGTTTAGCCATGCTGAATGTCCTAGTTAAATATTCAATTCGTATGTGATGTTTGAGGTACTCTGAGCAGGAATGTACCCATATTTTTTTCTTTCCTAACTTTCCCTGGGTCAAATTTGTCTGTGACTGTGGCGGTAATCCTGAACGGGAGGTTTCTCGCATGGAAATCGAGGTCCTATTTGTCATGATTATCACTATATAATATTAAGTATTTCTAACAAAGCTGCCTAAGAGCACATCGAATGTCCGCTTTAGGAATTCGTGTGCTATCGGGGAAAACGGTTACCTCTGGAATGATAATGTAATGATTACGGTATGTCTTTGCTGATTTGATTAATTGTCAACACACAGTCATTACTCGAATCAATAACTAATAATCACGAGGAAAAGGAAAACTGCACATTATTGGTCTCCACTTGTTCTCCGACTGGTGTCGCCAATTTGTGTCCATTACACCCTCCTTGAAACCCAACTTCTCTCTGGATTCACTGGGCTTATTGTCTTCCTGACCTAATTGATTGGGTTAACTTTAGACTCGTTGTTTACTCCAAAACGAACCTCATTATCCAATCACACTGGTCTTAACTCCTTTATTTGTCACGTAGCCATGACCTCTCCGATCGCGACCTCCTGATGGTTTTCATTGTTTCCTCGGCAATTTTCGCTACAGTTGCGTTGATGTGGATACGCAAGAACGTCCCACACGACCTGCCACCTCGAGAGGCCATTCGTGAAGCCATTAGAAGGCTTTCATATCAAGGCTCACGCCCAGGGGGCACTAAGGACGCCGACAGAGCACCGCCACCACCACCGTCGCCCCCTCCGAGGGACGAGCCGAGCGTCGGTGGCAGCTACACCGGTGGCTTCGGCAGTGGTCTGCCGTTCCTTGACTCCCTGCCTGGCATGGGCGAACCGCAGCCAACCACAACCAACGTCACATTTGATGTGCGTTTAAGTTACTTAGCGCTCCAGTGTTTTTAGCAAAGAGCATTTCAGCATAGAACACTATATCCATTCTTTCGAATCCAAAAAAAGTGTACGTTACGCAAGTTGTGTAGGTTGCGTGATTAGAAATCCAACCAGTGCAAAAGCAATGTTGCCTTGTGCTTAACGTTTGTTATTTAGCCTGTCGTGTCAATTAGCGCGCTCTCGAAATGGGATTTTCTCGGTGGCTTTAGCCAGTACCTGTCTGCTCATGAAAGAAGACCGTCTAAGTGTTAGATTTTTGCGGTGGAGCGATTCTGCTTTCGCAGTCGCTCTGCTTTACCTTCAGATGTTACTGTCCTTACCCTGCTTAAAGTGTCTTATCACTTGGTGGTCTCGAGCCAATCTTTTTACACGCGGAGGACTTTGTCTGACTGCAAATCCGTATTTGGGCACAAGTACCCCTGACCCTAGCTCTAAGCCGATTTCCTAGCGAGCGTGCTTTTTAATCCTTATTTCGTGTTAGGACGTGGCCGGAATGCACTCCGCCAAGGAGGAGGTGATGGAGTTCGTCTCCTACTTGAGGAATCCAGCAAAGTACCAGGAGCTTGGTGCCAAGCTTCCCAAAGGAGCTCTTCTCCTAGGCCCTCCGGGGACAGGCAAAACTCTCCTGGTGTGTGCACTTTCGTCTCATTGCATTTCTTGAACGTCATGTGCTTCCAGTGCCTGCTTCCTACGTAGTTGTACGCTCATAATAAGCCGAAAAACCGTCCCTTTCGTTTGTGTTGAAATCCTAGTGTTTCGGTTTTTTCCCCTCTACTGTGTGATGTTTGGGATCCGGGGCATCAGCTCTTGTACTAAAACGTTATGAGTAGCCAATTTGCATTTCATTTGGTCGTAGGTGAAAGCTCTTGCCCACGAAGCCGAGGTCCCCTTCTACTCAATGGCAGGCTCAGAATTCATCGAAGTTATCGGTGGCCTGGGGGCCTCACGCATCAGAAAGCTATTCAACGCCGCTCGTCAAAAGTCGCCTTCCATTATATTCATTGACGAAATTGATTCTGTCGGCCGACGACGCTCTGGTCCCGGGTAAGCATTTTACAGATGAATGTTGCATTTACATTGTTGCTTCTTTTATCTTTCTGTATTCCTGAGTATCGACTCGTGATTGGAGGCTAAAATTGCCATTCCAAGCACTAATCCACGTGGTTAGAGGGTATTACAGTGCTGTGTATTTGTTAAAAAATGCCTCTCGAACAAGTTATCCATCACACGTCCCCTCTTCAGCCAGGCTGGTGGTGGTGGTGGCGCAGCCGAAATGGAGCAGACTTTGAATCAGTTGTTGGTGGAGATGGACGGCATGGACACGACCGAGGGGACCATTGTGTTCGCCGCTACAAACCGCGCCGATCTCCTCGACACGGCGCTTCTCCGTGCTGGCCGCTTCGACAGGCACATCTTCATCGATCTGCCCAACATGGCCGAACGCAAGGAACTCCTGGACATGTACCTTGGTGAGTGTCTTGTGGCATTGCTTTCCAGCACACTGAGTGTTGGACCTGAGTGGGTGCGCCCAACGGCTCCTGGAAGGAGATATGGTTGCTTTTCAAGCGTTATTGTGTCGGGAGGTTCGTTGAATTGCCCTTCTGGTTCTTCGGTTCGTGAATTTCCACTCAACGGAGTTTATCGCCATCAGACTGCAATGACTTGAATGGCAAAAAAACTCGTTGGTCTAAGAACCAATTTCTTAATGAGAAGAATTAACCACTTTGTCTACTCTTTATGGCAGACGCCAATCACGTGACGCGGGCCGGCATGTCTTGTGAATTGTGATGTGGCGATTTTTCGCTTGACTGGCTCTTTTGTTACAGGCAAGTACAAGCTTGCCAAGACCATCGACGTGGTGGCACTGCGCGACCGACTAGCCACGTGGACGCCGGGAATGTCCGGCGCCGACATTGCCCGTCTCTGCAACGAGGCGGCCCTCATCGCTGCCAGAGGCTCGAACATCGAGGAGGGCGTCCAATTGGTCGACTTCGACAACGCCCTCGAACGCGTGCTTGCTGGTGAGTCGGGCAACCGGCAATTCCCCTTTTTTTTTACCCTGCGCCACTCATCGCCAGCTTCACTTGGCGCGTTTACTACTTAATTAAAATTGGCACGCTTAGGGCTCATCATCATATGCCTCAACATGTTGGTCTCATGGATGAGCAAAACGTGACCTTCTGTTGGAAGTCGCCTACTCTTTCGTGAGAGGGTGTTATACGAGCCCAAGATTCAGAGGTATTTTTTGGTTTGTGGTTGCCTTTCTAGCCATCAGTGGGCCCTTGTGAGTGGCCCTTTGTACGTGCTTGCCCGAATCGCCTTGTTGACTTTTGGTGGCGACGTCATGTGTTTCTCCTTGCCTAGGCGCAGCAAAGCGTTCGAGCCCTCTCTCCCTGATGGAGCGCCGAGTGGCAGCTGTGCAGGAGGCGGGCAGGGTGCTTGTGGCCACCCTCCTCCCCAACACCGGTCTCACGCCCTACCGCGTGTCCATAGTGCCGCGGGCCCCCGGGGGCGAGGAGGCGAGCATCGGGTTCACGCAGTTCGTCCCCGAGGAACGACGCCTCATGTCGGTGGAGGACATCGCCGACCGCATGACGGTCCTGCTCGCCGGCAGGGCTGCGGAGCAGTTCATTTTCAAGGCCGTCTCGGATGGTGTGTGTTTTGTGCTGACTTTGTTACGCCGCTCATCACTTGTTAACTGTTCTCGTTACTTCACTGAATCTGTAGCCTTCTCGTATGGCGCGGGCCAGAGGAGTAGTGTAGAACTGCTTCAATATTGCGAACTCTCAACCTAATCTATCCAAAGAGATCTTATTTTAAACTGTTTCCTGTGGTGCTGCATGAATGGTGATCGTACAATTAGAGGGAAGGTGAAGTTGTGAAAAGTTTGTTTTGTGTGTCAATGTTGCTAATGTTTTGGTAAGTCGGTGTTGTGGAGACGCGCAAATTGCGGCACTTACCTCATTATCTTGAATTATGCACTCTTGCCTCATCTGATTATTTTGGTAAAGACGCACCCTACATTTACCCTGTTGTTGGATTTAGTGAAGGGAATCGAGAATTCTCCCTTTAGTGCTACTAATAATCGATGTAACCAAACTCTCAGGCATGACCCCCAGTTGAGGTTAAAGCCTCACCAGAGGGACAAAGTGCCACGAAAGATGTGCTGTGCGAAACTGACATTTTTTCACGTCTCCACTCGCTAAAAAGTGTTGATTTGCATAATGTATGTTGTTAGGTGTGGTGTTCAAAAGTAAGATGTCCCCACACACAGCTTGTGACTCTTGAAGTCATTGCACGAAACAACGGGGTCATGAACAAGTTTACCATGGAACTATCGTGAACCAGAGGTGTCTGAAAGGCCAGTTGACTTCACAGGACCCTCAAAACCTGTCTGATGTGGGGCTTTCATCGACTTGCGTCTCCGTGTTCCATTAGACGTTTTTTGCTGATTTTCCTTGTGCTCGTGGTCAGTGTTTCGAAAAGAACCACTTAGACAGTACCCACGGTGCTAGGAAATCGTTGGTAAAATGAAGCACCAGTCCGTGCTGTTTCAGATTTCCATTAATGCATATCGTCGATTTCACGGCTTCTTGTAATTTGCATGCCTGCCTGCCTCGGCCTCCCTTGTCTCCACTCCCACCCCCAACTTCTTGCGCAATTCTTCAAATGAGTTTTTTGGGGTCTGATTAGTTGTCCAAACTTGCTGTACTAGTGGCCACGTGGTAATTCAGAGGCATTCAATGCAGATCTTTTAAATAACGTGATCAGAAATACGTTGTTCTTTTTTCTATGGATCATCGGTTGTCCACTCCCCCGTCTCCCGTCGCTTCTCTGCATGCTTGTGGAACCACATTGTCGCAGTAATTCCGCGAGTCTTTGGCTTCGGCCGCATTTTCACTTGACCCACTTGATCGAGTGCCTGCTGTTGAGCTGCCTTCTTTTTCCACCCGCACCCGGTTCTCCTTAAAAGCAAATTGTGCATTTTGCTTCACTTTTTCCCCCACTTTAGCCTCAGAAAAGTACTTGAAGAAGGCGACCGATCTGGCGTACAAGGAGGTGAGGGAGTGGGGCATGTCGAAAATTGTCGGGAACCTCAGTTTCGGTGTAAGTTTCCCTCCATGTTAATATTTCCACCCACCCCCTGCTCCCTGTATTTTTTCCCGCCCACATGGTCTCATGCTTCATTGTCGAACTAACTTCTAGAGGTGGAGTGGCCTTTGCATTCTGCAAAAAAGACAAACTTAGACTGTGAGTAACGTAAAGTGATTCCGAGCTTGGCAGCAGTGATGCTAGTTCACTTGGTCATGTTCTCGATTCCCTAAATCTCACTCTCGTCAATGCTATCTAATCAGTGTCCGGTGGTAGCAGCAAGCGCACTCCTTACGGCTGTCTTGTCTCGTTGAGTGCTCAAACCGCTTCCCTTCGGCAAACAATTTTAGGCCCTGGTGTTGGCTCTATTTTCACAAGGCGTTCGAGACCCCTTCGTTGCCGTAAGTACCGCGGCATCAAGTCCTTGTATAACAACACTGTCAGTTCACAGCTGCTATTCGGGGTCACCGCAATTATTCTCGTGGGAGTCTTTATATCCCCTAGCGCGGAGATGTGATCTACGGATCCTTTGTAGTGTCGAACAGTGGTTTCATCTAGCTACCTTTTTTAAACAATAAGCCCAAGCACATGGGTACTCAGAGGGCCACTGGGTGGAGCTATCGTCGGTTCTTTTCCTATCAAATCATGATTGTGGTTATGCCGTATCCCACGAGGCTTTTTGTTTCACCGTTGATTAAAGCGTTTGGCCAATTCGGTTTCACAGGCTGGAGTGCTTTCCTGTAAGCCTATTGGTGACTCTGGTAATCTCCTGTCGCCAGGTCCGTCTCCCATTCTTAACTGCGCGTTAAACGCCAGACTGCTTGCTGGATGTTGTAGGATCCTTCAGAGAACCAATTCTCCTTGCCGCCATACAGCAAACGCACTGCCAACCTCATTGACAGTGAGGTACAACGGCTGATTGCGGAGGCGTCCCATCGCGCGTTGGGCATCGTTCAGCAGAACGAGGACAAGCTCCGTCGAATCGTGACTAACCTCCTAGAAAAGGAGGTCCTCTCTGTGGATGAGCTAAAAGAAATCATCTCAGGTCCTTCCTGAAGCACTCTTTCGCCTAGACTCGGCGCTACTCGATCAACACATAGGCCGCAGTGTACATGCTGTTATGTCTTTATAATTCCTAATACAACTTGCCTTTCGTACGAAATCCTTGTCTCATTAAATTGGTTAGAAATGCGTTGCGACGTTTTCAACTAATAGAACATGCATGTTGACGATCCACTTTGTGAATCCCCTTTTTTGCTGGCCCACTAAGGGTGGTGTTGCAGTCAAGCGTGCTTTCCCACCCTTGCTGGTGTGACATTGAATTAAGCCAGGACAACCTGCCACTGTAACAATACTCATGTCGTAAAATGTCCTAATAGTGCAATCCTTTAAGGTGATTGGTGGCGCTTAGGTGCAAGGACACCAATGACTGTATGGCGATGCTTTGTTTTTTTACTGACGCCGAGCCAAAACGGGGCGAGTGTTTAAGATGTAGGCGTTGGCTGACTTCTTTGTAATTCCGGTATTTAGTTCGTGTAACACACCATTCCTCCGTGTAGTCTTTATCCAATATTGACGTTTCCATGTGTAATCTTGTTTGTTGTAACGGTAATCGGTCCTATTACGCAAATTGATTACTGCCGGACATTGCCATCCTTGCTGAGTGAAATGTGCGAAACGGTGTGCGGAGTCCCTTAAATTGAAGCCGTCTTGCAAGTCATTTTCGAGTGAGCATTTTGTCTGTGTAACCGCAATTCAAAGGAGTCGGAGCTGACTCACTGGTCATGCCTTTTCTAGAGATTGCGTGACCAGAGTGGGCAGCATTAAAAGCCAACTGGAGTGCTCATAGGATTGACAAAAATATTCCATTTGGCGACCCAGGGTTGAATTTTGTTGGCCACGTGAATAAAATCATATTAATCGGTTGGTATGTAAAATGAGTCGCGTCACTACCGTACCTCACTCACCTGGATTCACTGAGCTCTTATTAGCAAGGGTTCTCAATTTTTCCCTCAACCTCAAGGCTCAAACAACAAACTCAGTGTTGGGCTTGATGCGGAATTCGCAGTTGCAGGCGTCAGACCCAGGCAACACCAGTAACACCTCTGCCCTTCTCCTCAAAAGGCCAATAGGGAACAATGGTTACCATAGGGATTTCCTAGTAGTGTAGAGGAACACCTTCCGGACTCGTTCTACACACACAAACACTTCTCTGGAATGAATGCGTTTTACTACAGGTCGGAAAGCGTTGAGGTAAGTTGCCGCGTTTTACATCTGCGACTCTTAAAAATCCTGACAAAGATTGTAGAGAATATGCTTATTAAGGTTTGTACAAAATAGTTTTGTAGCCTGCAAACAATTTCAATAGAATCTGAACCCTTAAACTACTCAAGTACTTGGACTGAAAAACAACTTTCGTGTCTGACTCCTGCTGCAAATTAGCCGTTGGTTGCAGTTATATTGTACTGGTCACTTTGTTGCGGTAGTGACCGCAACATCATGGAAATCTAGTAACCGTCCAACTGTGAGTGGGTTAAATTTCATTGAGGGGCAAAACTAATGCCTTTCCAGGAGAAGGACCCATTCAACTTGATGTTTGGTGTCAACCACGAGGTGGCAGACCAGTCAACTTCGAGAGAATTCTTTTTTTTTCTTTCTGGAAAAAAAATGCGTGGTGGGTGGTATAAATGGTTTCTCAGTGATGATCAACAATGCGTTCATATTCTGAGTCAATATGCTTCGAAATCAATGCATCCATTTGGTGCATTCTCGCTAGCTATCAAAACCGAGTGGACACCTAGACCAGGCAAACGCTGGACATCCCATCTGTTTTCCACCAATATTTTAATGCGAAATCATATCATACAAATTCCTTATTAGGATTTCCGAAGAGTATAATTACAAATTTACTCAATAACACTTTCCTACGTCCCTTTGATATATTTAATTCAGAGTTGAGTAGTATTTATGTCTTTTGAAGAGACAATGGGTACTCCTCGACGCCTTTTGATTAGTGTCCTTCTCAAAAAATCACGTGATTTTAACTGCATTTACAGTAAATACATTGTTAGCTAAATTTCTACAAAATGCCAGAAAACTTTAGAGAAAAGAGGTACTTTCAAGTGGGTGTGCGTGTGTGTGTCGTCAGCTTGTAGGTGACGAGACCTCCGAGCCAAGTTGTGTGCCCTCAAAGACCTTCCGGAATTTCGCGTCCCTGCTCGCTCAGCCCCGTGCGATGCTCCCGCCGTCGTCGTCCACACGCGCGTTGGCTCCACTCGCCGCTGCACCGCGACTCCAGCACCAAGTCGACCTCACCTACGATCAGGTAAGGCGCCTTTGCTCCTCGCTCTCACATCGCGCAGCCGCGGAGTCGTTTGTGAGGGTTACGGGAACACAAATATCCTTCCAAGTAAATTGCCACACCATTTTGGGTCGTTTTAGCCGTCCGCAATTTGGGGTCGGGGTCCTTTTATTGAAACTTCCAACGCCAGGCATATTCGAATTTCGCAAGGCAAAATCGGTCACTTTTAATCTCATATTCCTGGATTCAAGTTGGAATAATCTTCGTGCTGGTTGCGCTGATATTGATGTAGCAAACAAATGCATTAAATATTTTACCTTTTGTGAAGCGGTTAAGATAAAAGCATTATCTCAGCAAGCGAACATTTCTCACTGCGTTGCAGTACCTACCCCGACCAAGGTGTGTCGTTGTGTGCTTTCACTCAAAGGTAGTGCATAACAATACAGTTTTGGGTAAACTCGTGAATAGTTCAAGTGGCTGAACGGCTAGATGAGTGAGAGGGAGTGTGTGAGCGGACGGGCACGATGTGGAAAGCGAGAATACATCGGCCGGGTTAATGAGCGTGGACCAGCGCATGTCACTACACCTCTTTGATCGATTGCTTTTTGTGCAGGCTCGCAACGCCTTCGTGCTCCAGTCGTCACCGGATGAGCGGTTCGAGGTGATCCCGGTGCTGTGTCGGATCCGGGGAACGCAATCCGAGAGCGCCGGTCCTTCAGCGCATCCGAGGGCACCTCCACGTGAGTTGATTATCAACTGCTGAATGCTGGCCTTCTTACTTGTTCCGCGCAGCCTTTGTTGTTCCCGTCGTTGAACTCCTTTATAATGTGCGCCCAGAAATCGTTGGCACTTTTGTTTGAGCGCCTTTTTTAACTTGCCTCGTGTTTTGAACAGAACCTGGACAAAAGTCTTGACTAATTTTTAAAAGAATGTCAGATCTTTAAAAGCCAATTTTCTTTAGTCAGATTAAACTTTGGTTCTTCCTGATTTTCAAGCATACCACTCCTTGTGATTTTACGCCGCGACCCTTAGTAGATGAATTACACTGACTGTAGTACTTCAGGCGTTTTATTATGCAAAGCGTTTTGATTCAGACTAACGTGTACTGCCTGTAGATTGTGGTGCTTTCGTGTAAGCAACATTTTTTGCGCGTACAGTCGAAAGTAATGTCTAAGGCGATAAGTGAGGTGATTTCCAGAAAAATCTTGAACTCCAATCATTCCGGGAAAAGTGGTAAAAACAACCAAATGTTTAAATAAAAGCGTCATAACACACGTAAACAATGGAAAATGATACGTAAAAGCAATCAGCATTGTCTGAAGGAGTACTCTAGGCAACTAACCCCTATCAATGTTGATGTCCAAGCAAAACGTCCAAATTTGATCCATTGAATAGGCATTATCCTTTACAAATGTGTTGAGTTTTGCCCGTAATCATAACAACACACTCAGATAGTCGGTAACCCAGATCCCGTGTCTGACTCTAGACCTCACCTTCCCACTCTATCGTAAGTCAGGACCTCATGCGGAGAAGAGCTTTTCCAATCTCGGTCAAAGGCCGAGTGATCTGTGAAAATGTGCCTACTTATATGGGTCAAGGATGGCATTGACTCGATTGATCAAGGCTTATTAATACAGATGGAGCTGTCAGTAGGGTACCGTGGGTGCGGTTTCGTTTGTTCCCACCAAGACGAAATCCTGACCCGCTATGAACCGCCATGGGGAATTCTACATCCCCACCAGAATGGCAACGCACATGTCGCCTAAGTGGCACTAAGGCCTCTGGAGTTGACATGTGAAATGCTCCAACAGCGCACGCCTCGTTCCTCCGACCTCACGCCTTCACACTCCCATCTGTTTCGTTCCCCGCAAAATTACTTGAACGACACCACATTTGATCCAATGGAAGACGTCAAAATCTACCCTCTGACATTCCGACAGTTTCTAGCAAAGGAATTAAAGAATGTATAAAACGCTGGAAATGTGTTATATTTTATTTGATGTCAAATTGAGAATGAAATAGGACTTATACTGATTGAAAAGCTCGTCTTAGTAAAGGGAACGGTCAGTTTCATTTCCTATTTTGCATTCTGCATTTGTGAGCAGACACGCGAGATTTTCAATGTCCAGAATTTGTTTCCAGTCATCCGGAGAAGAGTTGGGCATATGTTGATTTAGACCGTGCTACTGAAACATTCTCAATGCCACTTAAACGGATGTGTCGGCTACTTTGCCAGTTCCCGTGGGATAAACACATATCGTCGGAGGTGTAGTTTGCTTAAAGCAAGTTGCTGACCGCGCAGAATCACCTATCGTTTCCGTTCAGCCAACTAGCAATCAGCGCGGTCCAGATGTAATCACACCTGATTTTTTTTGCTTTAAATAAACTGAAAAATGATGCTGCACAATCTTGCAACAAATTTTTACGCATAAACGACTCTGAAATGCCAGGACGACATCGTTTAATCGTAATAGGAATTTGTCCCGTTTTGTGCAATACTTTGTAAGAATTAGAGTGCGATTGCATCTGATCGACTCTTTACAGCGTTTTGAGTATTTCCAACGTGTGAAATGATTTGTCAGAAGGATGGTGCATTTTGGACTGTGGGGACTGTGGTGCACCAGTGACTTGCGATAACGACAGCCTAGCACATAGTTGGATAAAAATTAGCCTGAAGACCGCCATAAACCTGTTGAAACTACACTACTGTGCAGTTGTGATGAATTCTTTGTAAAGAGAGGGTGCTTTCGCTAAA